TCGCGTGGCCTAGACACGGATGGCATCAGTCACTGGCTCGCCGTGAAGGAGACAACATGGAGGAACTCGGGTCTCGTTCCACGGGCGGCGCGGATAAAACGAGCTTCGCAATCAGACAGGTACGTGCATAGAAGTCGTGCTGTCGTCTTCTTATTCCGGTAAGCGCATTCGGTCGCTCTTCGAACGCAAATCGTATTTCGTTCTATTGTTAATGGGAATTAATTCGACTACTCCGCGTATGTAGGGCAATTCGTGGATGTCTGGTTCAGAACATTTAAATGGCGTGCATAACCAGGTGCGTTTATTTCCATCAAGATTAGGGGCCAGCCATTGACCAGCATTGAAATCACCAAACATTATTTCGTAGGAAAGAAAGAAAAGAACGTGCTCAAGGCCACGACTGACGTGCGCTGATGAACGAACGCATCTGCTTAGCGTGCGGATGAAGGCCCTAGAGTCATATGAAGGCAAAACTTGTGTAGCTGACTCAAACTCACTCATAATTCATATCTTGCGCTTTGGACTCACTCGGACTCGGTCTCGCAAAAGTTTTCTTCAACTGGGCTCACTCACACTCACTAAAACATTACTCACGCGGAATCACTCAGACTCGTAGCTCATTTAGTGTTATCTATCACATGTCGGGAACATCGTTTATATCATCTGGATAAATACTTCTCTCTTACATTTGACCGAGTTCTACTTCAATTGGTACGCATACCGTCACAATAATTGTTATCCATACCCCATGACTAGCTCGAAATAATTTAACTACTCGTTCCGTTAACGCCCACCTAGCTGAACTACAGTAAGATTTCCGCTCTGAAGCGACACTGTCACCTTTCAGTTTTCACTCAATCATTATACTTGTAAGCGGATATGACCATTTGTTCAAGTGCATAACATAACATTTGCGTTACTAAAACCTTTTGGGCTAGTTCGTACATGTTTCAAGAAAATTAGAGCTAACCACGGGAAGAATAGGCAAAGGAGCGTGACGTTCTTAACTTTTGTCTTATCTTCTCTTGGAGGTTTGCGCCATTTAAAGTTCTTAAAAAAAGTATTACGCTTTCCTTCCCGCTTACACTGCAGTGCCACTTGCAAGAGTAAGACTATCTCAAGCCAGCGTTACATACCGTGCAGGTACGTCACCAGTGCCGTGGACCGCGTCGCACGATACCCTGCCCTCTTGGACGAAGTTGCTAGACGCGCTAAACTCGACCAGGCAGAGTTGGAGGTTTTGGTACGAGACCGCCTGGCGGGAATACAATCCTTGGACGGTTTCATGCGTTTCGTCGGCGTCGTGAAGGAGCGAGTGGTCTGCCATCCTGCCGATGATGGCTGCATGCAACTGAACGAACTTAGCGAGGACTGCTGGAGACACGTCCGACGGTATCTCGTGACCGATGACATCAAGATCGATGCAGTACAAGTTGACCGTGTGTGATCACGGAAGAAGGTTCGCTTATGTAGGTGCATGTGGGACCGTGTGCAGGGTGCAGGGCCATGTGAGCAATAATATACTGTTCTCGCAATTTCTCGTATTACTGGTCTTTTGCGACTTTAGTTTGCTTGAAATCTTGCGTCTCGACTTTCAGCTGAAACAAAATCATCCGCCCTTGTACACTGCGAAGATGGTCCATTCGCTAAGCGGTGTAAACTCACATATAATATCAACATTTACTCATGTGTCCCATTCCACGCCCATATTATACCGAGCGTCGGGCATATTACATTTGCGATCTTCACTAGGTAACCCTTAAGGAGGATGGCACTGGTGTCGATATATTACCGAAAAAATTCGGCAGATACCGCGTACCTTTGGAATTGATGTTCTGCAAAGCATGCGGATGGAAGGTGACTATGTTGTAATGTTTATTGAGTGAAACGTTAAGGAGTGGCGCTAATGATATGTACAAATGCACGTAAAGACATATGTTAAACAGCCATATATTATTTATCTAACCAGTAGTTTACAGTTGTGTAACCATATACCAACAGCAACATGGACATTACCAACACCAGAAGAGGTAAGCTGGTATGAAGCGCTGGAGCTCGCGAGAATGGTAGCCTTGGAGAAAGCTACATAAATCAATTTCAGCGGATGGCACCTAACTACTGTAGACATTAAACTGACGCGACGGCTGTGTCATACGAGTACACATGTAATGTTTATAAATTGGATAGCCAGACCTGCCACCACGATTGACGTTTCACGAACAATAGGTTCTATATAGAAAGTAGTTGAGAAGCCTGGCGTAGTTCCGTGGTAGAATACTTCATGGCCAAGCAGGGTGCTGAGGTTCGATTCCTGTTGGAACCCTGACATTCATTGTTTAAATTCGTCGTTTCAACGGTGGTGACGTCAGCTTTTTCTTAACGCTTACGCGTTAATATTTTCTCTACTTCTTCACGCCATTCTTAGATATAAACTCTCAGTCACATGTGGCACATACCCGTATACCTGTGGCACATATCCGCATGCAGGTATGTGCCACACGTCTGGTAGAAAGGGCTTGATGACGTCACTTGATTGTCACATTTCTCATGTCATGACCAGCCAGTGATATTAATCAAGCTATGCTGCAAAATAACGTTTTATTTGATATACTCCCAAGTTAAAGGAAGGAAGGAAGAAAGGAAAGAAAGAAGGAAGGAAGGGAGGGAGACAGGGCAGGACAGGGCAGGCACGCATATATATATATATATATATATATATATATATATATATATATATATATATATATATATATATATATATATATATATATATATATATATATATATATACGTGACGCCAAACAGGCTCATAAAGAGTGTAACACACTCGCCGCCATGGCTACTAGTGGCGCTGACTGACACTCCCACGTTTAAATTGACATAGATACCCAATATAGTGGCGGGGGGGATGGCTGTCGTGGTAGCTCAGTGGTAGAGCATCGAACGCGTTATTCGAATGTCGCAGGTTCGGATCCTGCCCACGGCAAGTTATATTTTCACCCACTTTTCTTTCTTCTCATTTACATTACAAAAAATGGCCTAATAAGTGCCCCTATACCTTCCTTGGCATTTTTGTCTGTTAGATCTCATTAATATTGTGTAAAACACGAAAACGGGCCATTAAGTATACACTTGCTTCCCATATATATATATATATATATATATTATATATATATATATATTATATATATATATATATATATATATATATATATATAATATATATAGATAGATAGATAGATTCTCAGTGTCTTCTGTAGGCAAAAAAATGCTTCGCAATTAAAAGCGAATTTCGCCGCAAATATCACAACGGCTCGTTATGTCCTTTCCAAATGAATGGACCAGCTGTGGAGCATGCGTGTTTGCCCGCGAACAATGTTCCATTTTTAGTGGTTAAATGGCGAGTAGTGAGTCTTACCCAGTACCTCTAGAGAGAAACAAGGCTAGGGAGCTCGAATGCAGTGGATGTTCAGGCTAGCTGAAAAGAGCGTCCTCATCTTCAGTGGACTGTTGATGAGAGAGTGGGACGTGCCTATAATTGGTGACAGATTATCGTGAAAAACTTTTCCAAAACGCAACGAACATTCGAAATAATTACAAACAACCTAACTGTTAGTGGAGCAGTTGTAAGATAGCGGGGCTTTTTCCACCTCCGTAGCAGACACTGGCGAGCAGTTTTAAGAGTGAAGCTGTTTATCAAATCGTTATTCAAGAGTCTATCACAGAAAGCTATCACCACTTTAACGTATATATGTGCCCCTGCGTCCTACCAGAAAACTATTACCATAATAAATGGATATTTGTCACAGAAATTCGGGTAATTCTAAAACTCGCCACTGGTCCAATTACCAGAAATGAAGAAGGCAGCAGTTAGCCGAACAAATGGCTGCTCTCACGAAGTGTAAAGGGACGCCACGTTTAAGCATAAGACGACATAACATGACGCATAGCAAGGAGTCACGTGACATTTTTCGGACAAGAAATGACGTGACAATCCTCACCAAGTGGTGGTGCCAATGGCCAAGTGGCACATTTCCACCAAGGGTGGAGTTACGGGTCATGTGGGCCGTTCCTGCTGGAATAATCATGTGGGCTACCATACCACCTACTTGTACGCTGCTTACAATTCCACCACCTCCAGTGGTAGTCGATCCGCGAACTTCTTTTCTCCTGCTCGGCAGCACACACCACCGACCACCAAAAACGCCATTGTCCTGCGATACTTCGTGGTTATAAAAACTAGTGTACAATCCAGAACCAACGTAGAACCTGCTTCATCTGGGCAAGACCTGTAAACAGCCTACAAGCAATCAGATTAGTCTTCAATATCGTCCAGTTTCACTGTTCCAAGCCAGCGGCTTAGTGGAAGCATTTCCAAATATCTCACGCTAGCTACAGACAGCTACAGACAAAGGCCGTCGCTATAGCTGCATCGCTATTATGACGGGCCCCGTCACCATTGTTATTTTTGTCACTGCCGAAACTTTATGTCCTCCCCATTCCTACCGAACCCATCGAATAACTCTGACCGAACCCCACTCGCCATACCGCAAGGTCTTGTGGCCAGCGTTACACCGCCAACGTGGCTGGCGAAGAAGTTTTGATGTTGAAAGATAACGCAGTAAACAAAGAAAACGCGCCTGAGTCACTTGGATGACTGCACATACGCGCACGTCCAACACAACAACCTGTTCGAAAAGCTCAATGCTCAAAACTACTCAAGACGAATGCGGTAAACTTTTAAAAGAGATAAAATAGAACTTGTCGCACGCAAAGCAGTCCCAGAACATATATGGAGCCACTCGCGTGCCCTGTACTTTTTATAATTATACATGCCTATTGCTTTTTTGAAAAAGAAATAGATCGCCTGCGTGAAAAATCAAATTCGAAACCGAAACTGCATAACGTTGCTTGTCACGTGACAGCACGGAATTTACAGTTGTGCCAAATGGCAATCTGTGCCTCTAGTTGTGTTACGTTGTCAAACGGCAATCTGTGCCTCTAGTTGTGTGGTGGTTGTGTCAACAGTGGTGTTTGTTTTTCGTTCATGTGGTGGACGGATGCGCCACTTTCATTTTCCGAACTTGTGTTTGGTGTCAGTAAAGTGGCAACCTGCCATTGACAGTGTGGAGATTCGCGAAGATGTCATGGTGTCATTTGATGTTGATGGGTGCAATGGTAAGTGTTCTCGGGTGCACTCTCCTGATAGCCGCGCGGAACGTCAAACGCTCACAAAGGACGGCATGCGAACGACTTTCACGTGTGCATCAACCGGCAAGTCCAAGCTTCGTAGGTGACGTACTGAATGCTTGTGTTCTTTTTTTCTCCTTTTTTTGTCTTAATTGCAAACCAAGGGAGGTACTTTTACTCATTTCTTGTCGCGAAAAATGGTGTGCGCATCGATTTTTTTTTTTCCCCGTGTGCGCGCGTAATCTTGAAAACGCGGTATGCTGTTGAAATGTAGCAGTGTGTGTAATGAAGGCTTTGCTACAGCGCTAACGTATCAGCTCAACTTCGAAATGAAGGAATATCATTTGCATAGTCACTGTAGCGCCAACAATGAGCACATGTGAACCTCGAGACACGCTCACAGTGCGTGTGAGCGTGTGCCGCTAAACTAGCTTTTAACGTCGTCACTCTTGTTGACTTTATTTTTGTATCGAGTTACGATTACGTGTCTGTGTGTTTGCGAACCCGGCCGAAGACCTCAACCCTTCGATGGTGTGTCCTTAGTTTTTTTTTTTTTTTTTGACCGTGTTTTTTCCGAGCGTTGCGGCCACTATTCAAGTGCAGTGCTGCTGTGACTCATTGCCACTCTTGCGAAGGGTAATTATAACGCGAGTAACCTAATTCGTTTATGTGCTGGAGATGTGTATTTGGAAGCGTGATAAACCAATGTACCTAACATTGACATCTATTTGTCATTCTTTCAACAACACTAGCAGTACCCTATTTAATAATTCAAAGATTTCTGTCAAGGCTAATGTTTCGGTGAGACTTTTTTAATGGCTTTTAATTTCCTAGTGTTGGTACTACTATGGTCCACCGCCGCCGTTTGGCGATGCATGTGGTGGTGGCGCTGTACGCTATCGGAGCAGCCATAGAGTTTCCTGAAATTAACTAGAGGGGACTCTGGCAGCTGCGATCGTTCAGCGATCATGGGAATGATGGGTAGTACACACATTTGCCTAGTCTTCATACTTGCGGGCGGTGAATCGTACTTGCGGCTTTGTTTATTGCTGTGTTTCGGTTTTGTTTTGAAAGAAAGACTCAACCCTTTTGAACTTCGTGACCCGATTTGGAAAGGTAAGTCTAAAAAATAAGGTCGTGAAGCGCAACCGCTGAACATTTGCTGATTTTTGTTTTCTGAGAAAACAGCTCCAAGCCACACGAACACACACGGAGCCAGAAGTACGAAGATTAGACAAAAATGTGTACCATCCATCATTCCCATGCTTGCTGAAGCGCTGTGCGTTGCAGCTCTCATAGGCACTAGCGCCAGAGTTCCTTCTAGTGTATATTAGGAAACTATGGGAGCAGCCTCCAGACCACTCATCAACCAGAGCATATCCAAAATTAAACAAGAGATGGGTACGGCCAGATCCAGAAGCTGAGCGGGAAGTCATAATTGTGGGTGATGGTAATGTGAAAAGAATCGTGCCAAATGTACAGACCAATGTGGATCCCCCCAAAGCTGTCAGTTTCTTGTTTGGGAAAAAAGCCACAAGTGAAAAAGCGATGCACTATGTTGATACTTATGAGGGAGAAGCAAGAAATGTGCTCCATCAATACATAGTACACGTCAGGCTTACTTAGGCAAGATATGTGTCTAATCACCCAGACCCTCAAAAGGAGCTGGCACAAACGAGATCAGGGCTGCAATACAGTTAGCCAACGCACAGTTGCGGGAATGGTGCAAGCGCAGCATACACCGATTCCTCGACATAAACAAGAGTTGAAGACCACATGTGATGGACAAAGACGGGTTACACTACAAAACACAGGAGTGTGCTTTGTGGCCAGGAAAACCAGTAACGTGGCTCAAGCTTTTTCAGAACAGCACCGCAGCGGCAACAGGGAACCCAGGCTGCAGACACTACAACGATACCACTGGAAAAGTCTACGGAAGTGGCAAGACAACCGGACTACACCAAAGGATGCAGACGCACCCCCCCCCCCCCCCGAAGCAACAAAAAAACAGCTGCAGCACACGCTACCTCATCCTATGACCTTGCAGCATCCAGGTCCACTGCCAGGACCTCCAGCATGGGTACAAACTCCAACTTTCCCATCAAACATCCCAGACGCCCCAAATGCTATGTATCGCACTGCAGGGGAGCTGGTGCGCCGTCACCTTGTGATGGCCATGAGGGCGCGCCAATGAGGCGTACGCGCCCTCCAAGAAGACACAAGCATGTTCATTTTTCATTTATCTTTGACTATCACTTTTGTTTCTTCTTTTTTCGTTCCAAGTCAGCGGACTTTACGTGTTCTTTGTGTGGTTTCTCATTTTTCGCACTGTTTCTCTTCAGTATGTCTTACCAACATGCCCAAGCAATCACTTTAGTTGCATTCCTTGACGCTCTATGGTAATTGTAGATTTTTCACCATTAAATTCCACTACTAAAGGAAACCAGTGAAATGTAATACATTTCCTTTGCTCAGAACAATCTGACTTGTTTTTCAGTGCATTAATTCATTGCAACACTGTGCTGTTTACGTTTACTGACATGTGCTTTTGAAAATTTTTGCAGATCCATCTTTCCTGAGTAATAACGCTGAAAACTCCTTGCATGTTTCCATTGAAAAGGGGAACAGTGTGGTACGAGAGCATATTGCATACAGCTGTATTTACTCATTGATTTAAGCCTGGCTAGTGCATTTTCTCTGATATCGAGCACTTCGTTATTGATAAGGCTCGAGAAAAACATTTCCCAAAATGTGCCACAATGTGCAAAAGAAACATTCTACGCTCTCAGTTTTCTGGAATCTATAGTTGATGACATATACAGTTATTACGATTATTTGTTTAGTTTCAGGAGCTTTGTTTATTATATTCGGCTCATATATAGTCTGCAAAAAGAAGAAACAAATATTCTTTGGGCTGGTTTAGTTTGCTGTGCATATGTTTCTTTCACATGTTATATTGTACAGCAATCAGTTTTTCATTTTCATATTTCTCTTAAATATGCAGTGCTGAAATTTGTATCACCTGTTAATTACTGATAAAGTGGTAACTCAATTACAATATTAAAAAGTGTAATTTAGTAAGGAACTTTCAACCATCAAGCTTTGTTGATGCAATAGGTAAAAATATATTTGAGCTTGCTGTGTTGTTTGTGCTGGTCTTAACAGTGGTATTTGTGCTGTTGCAGATGTGTCCACTCCTTCTATGAACAAGTGAAGATGCTGTCTGCTTCGGATTTTTTCAAAAATGCGTTCAACCAGCCTCTTCGTACAAATCATACTCCATTTTATGCTAATGTCACAGCTTAATACGCTATGAACAGTAGAGTGTAAGGGTGATGTGACCATGTTGATAGATTTCTGCTAAGAATTGAATTATGTAATGCACGAGTGAAGTTGAAGATAGACCTTTGTAGCGTTAGCCAACCCGAAACTGCGAAGAGGATAATACAGTTCGGTGCAGTGTGGGTGTCTGAATCAGAGTAAAGAAATTCTCTGTCTAGCAAAGCTCTGGTTCAAGTTAGGTATTGATTAATGCATGTCTTTACATATCTCTATTTCTATGCACTAAGAGAAACAGCTTGCTATGTAATTAACTGCAATGCTTGTCAGTGGCATCTTGATTTTGCACTGTAATAAATGAATAATAATAATGCTATAGATGTGCAGCAGCTGTCTGGTGTTACTTTGCTGTCATTTTTGCTGTAAAACCTATGAGTATCTATGTATATTGCTCAAGAGAATCTTCAAATATTATGGACCAACAAACTTCATTTATTTTTTTTACTGTGTCATTTAGTCACTCAAATTTGCTTAAATGTTCCACTACTCACTTCCATCACCTAATGTTATACCATTTCTAATTTAGTCATTGGTTTTCCCATTATATAGCTTTCCTCTGAGGCTGATGCCTAAAAGTAGTTAGTGTGTCAAGTTTAATGCGTTGTTTCAGAATATATCCAAGGTACCATGTTAGCTTATATGACCGTCCAAGTGAGGATGAAATTATAGCAATTGTCTTGATTCCGTATGATAAGTTATATATTACGATAAGTTGGAATATCTACATGTGTGTTTGGTCATTTATGTGTCTGAAACAAGGTGTAGTGAATATCTCCCTTTGTATTCTATAGTATCATTATCCTTCCATTCAAGTAGGATGGGTACCTTAAAAGGACACTAAAAGCAAATACAAAGTCAATCTTAATTGTTAAAAGAGTGGTCCAGAAATTTCGTGCTACTTCTGTGCGAAGAAAGTGCTTATTTTGAAATAAAATCACGTTTTAGTGAGAGAGAGAAATAGAGAGGAAAGGCAGAGAGGTTAACCAAGATTGGCTTGGTTGGCTGCCCTCCACTCGGGGTGGGAGAAATGAGAATAATAGAAGGGAAAGAAAGAAGAGTAAGAAAGAATGGATAAATAGTCAGCTCGAGACTACACAGCATGGTCTCGTGATATTCTTTCACAAGTGCTTGGGAAGCCCGGTGGTTATTTAAAAGCATGAGAAAGCTTTTGTGGCTTTCCTCATATGCATGACCCTCGACCAAGGTCCCAGGATCTTTTTTTGTGTATGTTGTAAATCCAAATGAGAGAGCTTGACTTGTGTAGCCCATCGTTCAGATCGGTATGATTGGCAGCGGCATAGAATGTGCTCACGCGTCTCCTCGCCGGCGCAAATGTTGCATGCCGCACTGCTGGCCGCATCGCGTCGGTGCACTTCAATCCACCTGCCTGAAAGTGCTCTTTCTCATGTCACTGTTGCCATGCCCAATGTTGCCCGCCTTTGCGTGAGGCTTCTCACACTACTAGCAGCAGAGAAAAGGTAGCGGGAGCCACAGCAGCAACAGCCACTGAACAATATTTCGCTTGCTTGGTTCAGCTAGGCCCCGCCAGAAGGCACCACCTGTCCAGCCTCACCAGGCGAGAACAGAACTTCTGAACCCCTCATGCCGATCCCCGTAAACGTCAGGCTGTTCTTTTTTCTATAAATCAAACAAATGAACAAGCGGAATTTTATTGCATCTCTTAATGCACCGAAGGTTCTTCATTCATTGCAGCTAGTTTGATTACTAGCGATTACTAGCGATGCGACTAGTGATTACTAGCGATGCTTCACGTCATCGCAATGATATTGAAAATATCCCACTCATGGCGCATGTCTGTGGCACAAGTAGCTTAATTTCTTGGTAAGTAGGACACTGCTGTTGATAATTTTGCCGTTTTAAACGGTGTCATTCACTTTAGCTTTCACTCTGACATCAATTGTTATTTGTCTTTAGTGTCCCTTTAATGGAAAATATGTGAACGGTGCTATAGGGAATAAATTTTTTCTGCGATCCACATAAAATGTGCCATCAATGTTGACCACCAAAAAGTGTGATGCCTGACAATTTGTCGCATACAATTTTTCGCCTTTTCTGAGATTTTATTATATTAACTTTTTTCCCTTGTATTTTCTTTGCCATGTTTCATGTGTTGAACAATAAACATAGTTGCTGTGCAGCATTCAACTTGAAAAAAAGAAACGGAAGTACAATAAGTACTTTAATGTGCTGGTGCCTATTGTATTCATATCAAACTAAGAAATTTAGCTCTTTAGGCACAGTATCAGAATTCCATCTAAATAAGGCCCTTGTGCATTTGCAGTATATTTTGCATGTGTCAACCTTTGTTGACATCTACATATGTGTCCCACTCTCATCTGCCAGAAAAGCTTTCTCCAACATCACCCATTGCAATTAGTGAAACACTTCAGTCTCTCATATCTTATCAAAATCTTTATAATCTCAAGGAAATATTTTTATCACGTTTTCAAAGGGTGGGTTTAGTGTGATATTGATGTTGATTTCAATTTTTTTTAATGATAGCGTCTGAATTTTTCTCCGCTCCAGGCCTGCCGCCTTTTTGTCTTGTTTCCGGGGTTTGATGACTTCATAGCGGCCAGTCGTTATGGGCTGTTGTAAATATCTTGAATAACTTGAACGATAAATGTATCGAACGATCTGCTGCCAAATCACCCCGCTCAACCTTCAGCACCGTTGTGGATATTGGTGCATGGAAATATCTTGCTTCATATTGTGTACCTCTTGGAAAAGTTTGCACATATTCAGGAACAACAGCTGTAGTCGATAGTTTTGACAGCAAAAGCAGGCTCCGTACAACGGACAAGAAAAAAAAAAGTGGTGGGTGCCTGCGGTAAAGTAAGCTTTACTAGAACATACCACAGCGCCATGAAGGCTCACAAGAGGTTCAGTTGGTGTTTCGTGCTGAAATGAGGTTTGCACAACTTCCTTCTGCACAACTCGAAAAGTGATAACCTGTGCGCCTTGCTTTGGCTGTTTCATCCCAAATACCCATTGATGCATTTGCAAGATAGGGCCTTAATGAGACAGTGTGACAGTGTTTTGCTCCTTTTTGAAAACACTCCCATCACTTTTTTTGCAACACACGAATGGCTTGATTGCGATCAAATTCATCTTAAACTATCTTTTATAGTATATATTACTATACCACAGCCGATTTTTACATTATCAGTACAAGATATAGGCCAACCTACAAAGCGGTGAATGAAATATTTAGAGAGAGATGGCAACATTTGTAAAACATGCTGTGTGTCATTGCATGATTACTACTGCAGTAATATGTGGTTTCCATATTATGCTTTATTTACAAGTGTAGTAACCATTTGTCATTGCCTGGTGCTGTAATCTATTTGCAGAAAATCTGTGTGACATGGTTTTCATTGCCTTTCCGTATTGCCTGTGGCTTTGCAGGTTCCTTGTCTTCGGCATCCCCTGAGCGGTATCATTCACTCGTGTCCGTCCAAGGCAGACTGCATTCCTGCCGACAGTGCACTTTTGTGACCAAGTACAGTGCAAACATGAACCGGCACATTCGCACACACACGGGTGAGCGCCCCTTCCAGTGCTACTTGTGTCCAGCTGTATTCTCTAGGAAATTAGATCTCTCTTCGCATATTCGCACCCACACGGGGGAGCGTCCCTATTTGTGTGACTGCTGCAGTGCATCGTTCTCACGGGAACGCTACCTCGTGAACCACAAGCGCATCCACACAGGAGAGCGCCCTTTTTCCTGTGACCATTGCAACAAATCATTTTCACAAAAAGCGAACCTCTTTAAACACATGCGTACCCACTCAGGAGAGCGTCCCTATTCCTGTGACCACTGCAGTGCATCCTTCTCACGGAATCAGCGACTCATGGAGCACGTGGCCCGTTGTCATGAAACCAACAGGCCGTAACAAGTGAGTAGTCAACAGGCTTTCTTGAAAGAAAAGGAGGTGTCCAGGTTGGCGAGAGTTTATTGACTGGGGGTTACAGTGAAAGAGTAGATATAGATTTAAAAAGTAACTTAGTTTGGCTGCTTGCAAGGGAAAGTGTCATAAATTCGTAAGAGGAAAGGAGAGCCATAGAAGAATGTGCAATGAGAGGCCACCTTGAGAAATGATTATCCACACAACCGTGCTTCACTTTGAACCAGCACTAGCTTCATTAGAAAAATTCGTAAGTAGCTGTAGGTACATGGAAGTAAAGTTTTGTGCATTCCTAATGGGGTAAAAAAATATTCCCTCTTCAAGGGAATTAATGTCATGGTTTTCAAATTACGTGTATGATGTACGACATAATGCAGTATTTCTTTTATGTCTGCTATAATGTGTTTACCTTGATGGCATAAGATGGCATATCTATTAAAAGCTGCATTGATTTTATTCGTTAGCCCACTCCAACGTACGTCTATTGAAGTATGCAAATGTAGTTTAGCTTGAATGAACCCAAAGACTATATGTATACGCACACACACACACACATATAAACACCACACACACACATATTAGGAGGTAGAGGGAATCTCATGTTGGATTTTGCATAAGCAATACGCAATATTTTAATGTTAAAATAAAATGAAAGAAAGACCTCTCCCCGTATTTGGTAAGACTTCTTGAGTGTCAGTGTAAAAGAAGAAATGTACAGTCGACCACGGAAGCTGACAAACCACGGAAAATCCTCTTTGCTACACTTCCGCTGCATCAGAGACGGCCGACAGCTTCGCAGTGCCCAAAAAGCATGCCTCTCTGAATTGATGACATTTGTCTTTTCTGGCCGGGCACAAGTAATTTCCACCTTTCACATTTTAGAAGAGTCGGTGACTGCGCTCACACTAATTCCCCGTCATGCCGGAAGCGGCCTCCTGGCCGCGCGAGAGACAATATTAGGAATTCGTCGGGTGTACAGTTTCAGCCGAGAAACGTGCACAATTTCTGTCCCACGGCAACGGTGGTCGGAGGGAGCGTTAAGGTGTGAGACACGGTAATTAACGGGGGACGTTTGTTCAATCACCGTATGAGGCCTTATAAAACGACTGAGGAATTTTTTACATAAGCCGGGCACGCGCACGGAAGTCCACAGAAGAACTTTGTCTCCTGGGGAAAAGGTGACAGCACGGTGTGTTGAGTCGTAGCGAGACTTGCGAGCTTCCTGAGAGATGCCGGTGTTGATTCGTGCCAGATGACGGCAGTGCTCGAGGCGAGACAAAAAATTGTGCGGATAAAGGGCTTGCTAAGGTAGCAGGAGCTGAAAGGAAGGAGACGTCCAGAGTTACACTTTGAGAGCGGTCATGGACCAGAAAATAGGGAGAAAAGCCGGTGGTGCGTTGTGTAGCTGTATTGTAGGCGAACGTTACGAATGGCAAAATGGCGTCCCAGTTCGTGTGGTCAGGGTTAACATACATGGCAATCATGTCCGAGAGGGTACGGTGAAAGCATTCTGTCAAGCCATTTGTTTGAGGATGATAAGTAGAAGTTGTTTTGTGGATGGTGTTGGCGGCGCGTAGAACCTCAGCAACAATAGAGGAAAGAAAGACCTTGCCGCGGTCACTGAGCAGAACACGTGGAGCTCCATGGCGTAAAAATATGTTACGCAGAAAAAAATCAGCTACTTCAGTGGCTGTACCAGCGTGCAGTGAGGCGGTTTCCGCGTAATGAGTAAGGTGGTCAACAGCCGTTACAATCCAACGATTTCCATTGGAGGTCACAGGAAGGGGGCCGTACAAGTCTATCCCGACGACTTCGAATGGCAAAGCGGGACAAAGAAGAGGTTGGAGAAAGCCAGAACGAGCAGTAGTGGGTCGTTTCCGCGGTTGACATAAAGCACACGAAGAAACATATTTGGCAATCGTGGATGAGAGGCCAGGCCAGGTGAACCGACTGCGTATTTTGTTGTACGTTTTGAGATAGCCGAGATGCCCAGCAGCAGAATCATCGTGGAATGTCTCAAGAACCTGATGTTGTAGACAACGTGGTATAATGGGGACCCATTTGTTTCCTTCAACGTGGTAAATATAGCTATGTAAAACACCATCGTGAAGCTTGAATTGTTTCACTTGTCGACGAAGTCGGGCGTGCGGAGGAGCGGATGTGCGTTCTAATCGTGCTATTATGGAGCGGCAGTAAGGGTCAACGCGTTGATGCGACACAAGGGTAGAAGGGCGGCCGGATCTTAGCCAACTGAGACCTGCGATGGGTAATGCTGCGGTGAAAATTGGTGACGGTGGGCTATTACGGTTGGGTAGAGGGCTGCCAGAGAGAGCATCAGCATCTTGGTGCTTCTTACCATACCTGTAGATGACATCAAAGTTGTGCTCTTGTAAACGAAGCACCCAGCGGCCAAGACGACCCGATAAGTTCTTTAGCGTTATTAAATCAGATGAAATTTGCACACCAAAAAGAACAATCCTTCTTGTAGTGGCAACTGCGACTAAAATACGCCAGCACCATGAGTTTGTCCCTCTCGGCATTTTTGAGCTGACTCCTCACAGACATTTTGCTCACAGACAGGGCCATGAAACGCTTGCCAAATGTCCGCTCCATCTGGCAGAGCCTTGTGTCAACTGCAAGCTAGGAAGAAGTTCGACAAGACTGTGAAATCCAAACTAAGTCCAGTGTCATGCCATATTGTAGCCATGTTTGTACCATATACTGTCGTACATAATGGCAATGTCGTCCCTGCTAAGTTCTCTCACTGCGAGCTCTTTCGAACTCTCAAGATTGGCGCTGACATCATCCATTGCCGCATCACGAACTTTCCGGCTGACGAGTGTGAATGACTTTGATGCATTGGCTTTTGCAAGCCAACAACTGCCCCAAATCGGACCAGCTGCTCGTAGCCTATTCCTACAGAGCGCGCCGCACAACGGCTTACACTTGCGAGCAATGCCTTTTTTCATTCATAGCGGAGATAATTACTCGAGAAAAGCATTGTTCAGCTGCGCTGCTCGACAAGACATGGACCCCGCAAATAGGTTTCTCAGCAGATACAGACGCGCAGTGGCCAGTGGCGGTCCCCGATTCGTACCTTGTGATAAACCAGTCGCGGCGCTCGAAAAACGCGCAGAAGAGTGATTCTTTTTATTATTTCTTGCACTGCATCAGTGAGAGAAAACTGTTGTTATTTGAAGAGTGAGGCTCGACTCTTCGACTCATGCGATCACCAATGGCTAGTGGCGGCGGATTATCGGCGGCAAGGTGCTTGAAGACTACACACTTCGGGCCTTTTAACAGGCACCTTGTGCCTTTAGATGAAACTTTAGAGCATTTCCAGTCAAGTCTCGACCTGTATTATTTTTTTTTTCATAATAGTAGAGGTACTAATCTTATCAAAACAGGAGGAAATAAAAAATAGATAATTTTGAAAAAAACTTGCGTTTTTCGACCCGCATCTTCCCTTAAGCTGAAAACAATACACTGAAACATTACTTCCAGGTTCAAGAGAAAACTCATATAAAACTCAAAGGAAACGACCCTGTGCTGATAAACTTGAGAGAAAGGCAAGAATTTGACACAGTTGAATAGCCTTACTTCAGTGGGTCATGTCTGTGTGTTTAGCTAATCAACATTCAAGAGAAATCAAACCACGATCATGGAATAGCTACAAAACACACAAAGGCACTTAGCTTCACTTTCCATTTCAATTTTCATGAATACTGGCAGATTGCTCTCAAAACTCAATTGCACAGGCACCAAATGAACATTTCACACAATTCAGATGTCGCCAATAAAATTTGAATAAACCGTTACTTTTATGTTCCACCTTAATCCAAAACGCATCTGACCTTTAGGGGGTTCTTCTTTGAAGACAATATCACATGTGGATCATCAAGTTCTCTTTCCAAGAAAAGGATTCGTTACGATGGACGCAAGAAAAGGGATCCTCGTCTGTTTGGAGGACCATGAGCTTGCCGTTAAGATTGCGATGTGACAGCATAAGCAAAGGTGTCGCTCTGTGGTAGAACACCTTCTTGCCATTTAAAAGCTCTTTGGTTTGCTCCTCATTCGTACCGAATGTTGGCAGTGACAGCTGTTACGAGATCACAACAAGAGTGCCGTAGTTGTCCACCGCCACCACTGTTTCTAACAGCTATCGCGTGAAAGAAGAAAAAAAAATCTAATTAAGAAAGAATGCTTAGAGGTAAATGAGGTTTGAACCTGGGTCTTCTCCGTGGAAGACAAGTATTCTGCCACAGAGCCATGCCGGTGCTCGAAACTCCTGTGCACAAAAACCCTGTACAAGTGTTATGTCAAGAGGGAACCGCGTTAATATAAGTAATGTGGCAGGGTAGAAAAGTAAAGTAGTATTTAAGTGTTACTGAGTGTGAATCCTGTAACTAGTCATACAATATGAATTGTTAATGAGTGGGTCGTTGCATGTTTCCAACCCATCATAAAGGGCTTAGCCCTAATTCTTCATCAGCCACCAAATCAATCGGTGGAATAGTGGGCTACCTTGCAAGCACATAGACTCAAGCTAGTTTACAAGAAGTTCTATGAATGGAGCAATGGCGCTCTCATCCTTCTCTGTGGCGATGCTGCAGTTTCTATCCAGGCCTGGTGTTTTTTTTATTTTCATTTTGCTGGATTTATCACAGATAGTCACTGACAGCACTGAAATTTTTGTTTACAACCAATGACACAGACACTGAAAATCCTGCCTAACGAGCTCTTTAATGAAGTCATTTGTACTACTAGCACTACTACATTATGCACTACTACATTATGCATTGTACTCTCTAGAATCTTATAGTGCTTAACGAAATCTTGAAATAACCTGGGCAAAGTTCTTTTTTTTTTTTTCACACTGCTACTTGTTCAGCAACAACTATTTAGGTTCACTTAAATGTGTCTCTGTTCTGTTCCATTATCAAAGGAACATTGCATCATTCTTAATTACAATCACTTATTTCTCACATTATCTTATTGTTTATAGGCAATGCATGAAAAACAATTAGTGCAATGTTTTGTAATATATACAAGGTATTTAAATAACTTTTTTGACATATCAAGGTGGCCTTCTAAAGGTAGATTAATGCAGTAATGATTGTATTTATTTAGTGTAAAATTATACATTGTTATAAAATAGGTATATCTTCTTGTGTTGATTGATTGATATGTGGGGTTTAACATCCCAAAACCACCATGTGATTCATGAGATACGCTGTAGTTGAGGGCTCCAAAAATTTGACCACCATGGGTTCTTTAACGTGAACCCAAATCTGAGCACACGGGCCTACAACACTTCCGCCTCCAAATGCCGCTGCCGCAGCCGGGATTCGATCCCAGCGACCTGCAGGGTCAGCAGCCGAGCATCTTAGCCACTAGACCACTGTGGCGGGGCTATCTTCTTGTGTACAGCTGTGTGAATGTGTGAAGCATTGTACGCTGGATAGGTTAATTTTATACTCTGGTATGACATGCTTGCATTGGAGTAGGGTTTAGACAAATGGGAAATGTGTAAATAGCGCTCATACAGATGGAATCACACCTCATACAGATAGAGCGCAGCTGCAACTTAGCGTAAAACCTGCATGGGACGTCCCTGCCATGACGAAGGCGGAATATACAAGAACAGGAGCTCGACGAATGCGCCCTTTTTGTGGCCGTTTCTTCCTTTATGATGGACGCCTGCCACCCAGTGTTGCCATTCTTTTTGCAAGGAGTCTGCATTTTGCAAGGGCAATGCATTATTCTCCCAGAAAGTGACCCTCCTTAAACACATGCGCATCCACACACTGAGAATGTACCTTTTCCTGTGACCACTGTAATGCCTCTTTTCTGCAGAAGCACCGCCTCATGTAACAGATGTCTTGTTTTCATGCAAACAAAAAATGCATAAAAAGTAAGTGGTCCACAAGGTTTTATTAGGAAGAGAACGGTGTACAGGGAAGGAGAGGGCTTGCTGATTAAAGATGACAGCGAGAGAGCAAGCAAATTGAGATTTGAAAAGTAACTCAAGTTTCATAACTCACAAGTGATAGTGGCATGTTTTCCTGGGAAGAAAGAAAAGTGGTAAAAGAGTGCGATTAGAAAAGTCATTGTTATAAAATGAGAGTATCCCCACAACCTTGGGCTACTTTGCCATAACACTCGCTCCATTGCAATGACAGCTGAGTGGGAACTTTCTCCACAGGTGGGTGGAAAAGTGCTTAAAATGAAAAATTTTCTGCTCTGAAAATTGTGCCAAACCAGAAGTCCTCGGTTGCATTACTGCTTACCGTATTTACTCGATTCTACCGCGCACCCGATTTCCACCGCGAAAAAAAAAAACGTAAGACATCGATTGCAACGCGCACCCATTTTTCTCGCTGGCCCGCACGATCACACCACTCGAAAAAACGACTCCTTTCGGGAGCGTCTTCCATTTAAATATGAGGTACGGGCGAAGCTTGTGCCCATCTGACGTGTAACAGAGCATTGCCGTCACTGTAGTTTTACCGTGGACCGATGTCAGCACGCGAACTTGCTTCGCCCCCTTCTTCTCGACGGTTGTGGTGCCAGGCATGTCGCAGTAAAGAGGCGTCTGATCGGCATTTCCGATTTGGCCAAGCAGGAAAAAAATCTGCTGTTGTTGCGCCGCAAGTTTAGGACGAACCTCTGAAAACTGTGAAGCTTTTCATCGTACCCCTCCGCAACACTTTTCGCATATGCATGTTCCCCTTCGGAGGGAAAAGCCTTTCCTCTTCATAAAGTTAGTTAGCCAGCACCTGCTCGCTTTAAACTGGCTCTGCATTAGACCTTTTTCTAAGACTAATTGCATAGCCCGCACTTGGAGCAGTTCTGTCGTCACGGGCCGCTGTGCCGCTCGCTGCTCAAGCACATACTCGCCAAGCAGCTCTTTAATTTGTGGAAACCGACCCTGCTGTTGTCCACTGAAGCCTTTGCGTGAAGCTTTGCTGTCGACAATCTTCTGCTTTTGTTTCCGCCGGTCCCGCACGCACGTTTCGGGAACTCCGAACGACCGCGATGCGGCCCGATTTCCGTCCGTTTCTGCGCACGCGATGACTTCTCTTTTAAAAGCGGCATCGTGGTGCACTCGGGTTTTTGGAGTCGGCCCTTCCACGCCGTCGATGCTAAGGCACTACTAGATGACGAACTCCTTAGCACACGTACGAAGTGCCGCACATGGGAAACACATAGGCAGAAATGGCCGACGCGCCATGCCGACGCACGTGGGGGCAGCCATTTTGGATACCAATGGCAATAGATTGACCGTAATTTTTTTGTTCGTACTCGATTCTAACGCGCATGCGATTTATGAACTTGCTTAACCCAGAAAAAAGGTACACGTTAGATTCGAGTAATTACGGTATGTTGAAGGATAATTTGATGCCTCAAATGCATATTGTGCTTGGTGAAGTTGGTGAGTGCATTGTTCAGTGTAAGACATTAAAGGGCTTAACATACAGGCATGCCAAAGTGGCTTTTCAAATGTAGCTTCAAAGTATGACCATCTTACTTGTTCAAAGTAGACTGTTCAAGAATTATTATGATATGTGGTTATGTCTGTTCCCTTATGTCATTAAAAGGCAAGTAGTCCCTTTCATTATTTTGTAATAATGTCAAGCTGTCTTTAAGTGCTATAAAAATATAGCAGATGTTGTGGCCAAAAGTGCCATCACATATGGAGCAAGAATACGCAGAAATGTGCCTGTATTTTTCACCTGCCACAAGCCTGTGATGGTAATTTAGTCCATGTAAATGAGTTTTTTCGTTCTTACCACATTTCTTGTTTCTTTTTTCATCAACATTTTAAATTAGCATTTTATTTCATATAGTTCATGGGATGCATACTGTATTGGTACCTATATGTGCAAAAAAAGAAAGTGATATTTAGCTTAATGAATGGTTTAGTGCCCAATTTCTTGCGACATATATAAATATGTTCGGATGTTTAAGTATAGCATCTCAATCGCACCCTAGTCAGGCCTTTGTGTATTGCCAGCATGCTTTCTCACGTGAGCATAATATGTACAGCACAATGGGAACTTGAATAAGACATGTAGTGAAACAGCACTGTCGCCACAGCACTAGCATGTGGATGGAGCAAGGTTGGTGTGTACTTCAGTTACCGGCGCAGTAGCTCTTGATTGCTTGTTGCTGCCGTAAGTTTCCAGTGCAAGTGTGCTATGCGGCTTACACGAATTGCCTTGGTGTTTTCCTTTGGCTTTTCAGGTTTCTCGTTCTTGGCATTGTGCACCTACATGAGGTAGCGAGAGGGAAACATGGAAAGACACCTTCACTTCCACTTGGTCCAGAGCCTCTTCCAGTGCCACCTGTGTTAACTGCCCTCGCTCAGTCATCTTATGAGGCACATTCACACTCGCACAGGAGAGCATGCTTTTTCCTGTGTCAGCTGCAATCCATACTTGATGCTTTGCAAAGTTAACCTCATAAACCACAAGAGCATGGAGAGATAACACATGTGTAAAAAATTGGACACCGAACTATGCAATAAAATGTTTTTGTTTTGTAGTTTCTTTTGCTTCATATGTATAGATTTGCAGAGATAATTGACATTGTTGAAGTGATTTAGGTATGGTTGAGATGGCGGTGAACATGTTTTTGTACTTCTTAACTAAAAAAGGTGTGCCTAAATCTGACGTAAAACTGTCTTCTCCACTATATGATAACTTGTGAGAAGAAAGAAGCCTGCCTGAGTCATTACTGCTTATGTTATCGGCACATCGTCTAAAAGCATGATCATGTACAATTTCAGTGGTTGCCTTGTATCTTATGACCAGGTTGAAGGCAATGCCTAAGTGAAACTATTACAGCCTGACTGTGAGAGGTATATAATATCTATTGCATTCCTTGTTTTCCTTTGCAATATTTCCTTGCCGCACACAATATTCAGCTTACCAATGGAGTGAGTACACTCGTACGCCAAAAGGTGCCAAATTATGCCAGCCTGATAATATTGACAAAAATTGCTCAAAACTGCATTTAGATCTCTGGTTTCGAAGCGTCCATCATTGACGAGGCAGATCTGTTTTTGTTTTGCATGCGTTATCGCATTATTGCCCTTCTTGCATCTTGCAGACGCATTAAGGCTCTCACATTTGGTCTCCTGCGTGAGAAGGAAACCCCACAGTTGGTGCCGTGCCAGGGAACTTTGACGGCGATGATCATGTTTGCGACGGCGGGGTGGGGCCTAAAGAGATTGGCTCCTAAAACAACACGAACGGTGGCCCACTCAAAACACAAGGCCTGCGTCGCACGTGACAATTAGCATTGAGTTCATTTTGTCGGTGCCAATGTACACTTTCGGGAGACTTGGGCTCTGTTTCATTGCAGGCCAAGAATTCATAAAGGCAATACTGTACACAGTATGCGTTATTCATTTCAAGAGGGACGACAATCAACTACAATGTGTCATAATTATCGCATTTAAGAGAAGCTGCCATGGAGGCAGCGATTCGTCTTGGTGTTGTTTGGTTTTGGGAATTGGCGTTTTCTGCGGATAATTTCGATGCCCGAAGATGGTGCTGCGGTCACTAACACTTGTACTGCTTTGCATCGCCTCCTTGAAATCAGCAGACATATGCCCACACTGATCTCGAAATCTGATGCATAGAACCCCAACTTCTTGCAAAGTTCTTGCATTTCGCTAAGCACACGAAGGCTGGATTAGGTCGCTCTTGACATACTCCACCATGCCAATCGTCAGCAGGCCGGTGAACTTTAGACTAGGACACCCTCCTACGATAAACGTTACGAGCTGGCTTGCGTCCTTTGCTTCTGTAGATGTCGCCACCCTTCAGTCATTTAGTTCGGCTGCCACTAGCATGTGGCGCCCCTGAGATTGTATATATATGCTGCCCTGAATAAAGTGAAGGGGCCTTTTTCGTTAGCTGAGCAGCTGTTGTGCGTATCGTCTCTCTCCGCGGGCACGGGCCGCTCGTGCTCCGGCACGCTCGCGCGGGACCAGTCACAAGACATGGTGTCAGAAGTAGCTGCGTAACGCCCCCTCATCGCGAACTCGCCCGTACCGCACGACGATGGCCCTCGACGGAGTGGCGCCGAAAAAGCTCAGCCTCAACCTCCAGCCGCCCGCACCGTTCGACTTTGTGAACCCGGGAACCTGGCCAGCATGGCTCAGCCGCTACGAGGACTACGCTGTCGTTTCCGGCCTGACTCAAGCATCCGGCGACATGCAGGTACGCTCGTTGTTGTACTGCGTGGGGCCGGAGGCCCGCCCACTTCTTGAGACGTTCTCGCTCGACACCGCATCACTCGCTTCATTTCATTTCAAGTGGTTGCCGCCAGCTTCACCGACCACTTTGTGCATCCGGCGAATGAACTGTACGAGTCGTCGCATTTTCACCAGCGTGTTCAGTTACCCGACGAGAGCGTCGACGCCTATGCGGGTGACGCGGAAAAATTGGCACAGGCTCTCAGAGACAAATATCCCTGTAGCCAACAGGACCCCATCGGACTGGCGTATTCATATGCAGGCACGGAAAACGCCGAGTTAGATCGTTGCTTTCAGCTCCACCATCTGAAGGCAGCCCTGTCCAAAATGAAACGAGGCACAGCGCCAGGTCGGGATCGAGTGACGGTTCGGCTCCTAGCCAACCTCCCTGACTCGGCGTACATTCACCTCCTCGACTACTCCAATCAGATCTGGGAGGGGCGCGAACCCCTACCGCTCGATTGGAAAACGGCCTTAGTAACTTTCATCCCTAAATCAGGCAAATCTGTAAACATCGACAATCTCAGACCAATTTCCCTAACCTCATGCGTAGGGAAACTTATGGAAGCCATGGTCCGGGACAGGCTCTCTGAATACTTAGAGGCCCGACACACTTTTGCAGACACTATGTACGGCTTCCGCCCACATCGCTCTGCTCAGGACATCCTCCTGCAACTCCATCGTGACGTTGTCGAACTGGTCGAACATCCCAGTGACGACAAGGTAGTCCTCGCCTTAGATCTCAAGGGAGCTTTCGATAACGTTACCCATGACATCATCCTTGCCAACCTATCACAAACAAACTGTGGGCATAATGCTTTTAGGTACGTCCGCCAATTCCTCATAGAACGGCAGACATACCTGCGTATTCAAGACAAGGAGCATGGACCGTACCCCCTCGGTACGCGCGGAACACCACAGGGAGCAGTCCTCTGTCCTCTTCTGTTCAATCTTGCCATGGCTCGCCTTCCCTCATTGCTAAACGATGTCCCAGGCGTGCAGCACGCTCTGTACGCCGACGACATCACGCTATGGGCAACTCAGGGTTCCCTTGGTAGCATCGAGACATGCCTGCAACATGCCGTGTCGATAGTTGACAGCTACGCCCGCGGCTGCGGTCTCGAATGCTCACCCACCAAATCGGAATACGTGCATCTTCGCCCCAAACCGAACGACACGACACAAATTGAACTCACCTTGTGTAACAGGGCCATTCCGGAACGCGACGAAATCAGAGTCCTGGGACTCTTCATACACAAACACCGCGAAATTGACACCACTCTGCGCAAACTACGCACTGTGGGGGATCAGGTGGGCCGCATGATCCGCCGGGTTTCGAACAAGCGAGGAGGTCTCAAGAGCCGTGCTGCTCTGCGCCTCGCCAACGCTTTCGTGACCAGCCGGATCCTTTATTCGACACCTTACCTGCGTCTGCGTAAATGCGACTAGAATACACTAGACTGTATACTCCACAAAATTTACAAACACCCCCTAGACCTCCCCATCTCAACGTCGAACCAACGTCTCGCAGACCTGGGCATGACAAACACGTACGGGGAACTTAAAGAGGCTCATCTCAATAACCAGTACCTGCACCTTAGTAGGTCTCAGGATGGGAACAACCTCCTGCACCGCCTCCACATTTCCAACACCCACAAGGTGGAAGAGCGTACCGCGATCCCCGAGGATTGGCGTGGTGCACTGATCATTACGCCTCTGCCCCAAAACATGACGAATGGGACTCACGATGGGCGGCGTACAGCGCGGGCTACAGCCCTACAGCAACGGTATGGATCACGCCCGGGAGTCTTCTACACGGACGCATCCGGCCCCCACCACGGCGGGTGGTACACGGCCGCTGTGGTTCACCAAAACGTACCTATTCAAGGGCTCACGTTTCGAGCACCGGACATCACACACGCGGAGAAGGTCGCCATAGCCCTTGCCGCAGTGGACCCCGCATCTCGGATAATTATTACCTATTCGCGGAGGGCGTGCCAAAATCTCACACGGGGTTGCATCAATGATCGCGCCGCCGAAATCCTTAAGCGATGCTATTATCTAGATCGCCCAAATCCACGCACCGTCATCTGGACTCCTGCTCATACGGGGCTAGTTGGAAACGAGGCTGCAGATGCCTCGGCCCGCGCGCTTAATTACCGGGACCCGCCTCACCCTCCATCGCCTGATGTTCCAGAACCCAATCCGGCTACCTCTTTCAGAGAAATCACCGCAATGTACAAATCGAACAGGCTCCGCTTCCCACCCCCAGCATCGGGCCTGCACAAGAAGGACGAGCGCTGGCTCCTCCGTCTTTATACCAATACAGTATTGTGCCCGGCGATACTCAAACATTTCAATCCGGCATTCTCTGGGGAATGCCCCCACTGTGACCGTCCGTTCGCGGATCCTTTCCATATGGTGTGGGCATGCCCCTCAAATCCGGCGGTCCCGCCACTTCCTTCCCCTTCCCTCCCTACCCGAGAGAGCTGGGAGGCTGCCCTGCTCGGTTGCTCGACCCTAAAGGACCAGCGTGCCCTAGTGGCCCGAGCGCGTGCTGCAGCAGAAGCCACAGGGGTCCCGGACTAGGGACTCCTCCTAGATTTTGTAAGGGGCCGGCCCTTAAAGCCGTCCCCAACTCTCTCCTGTCAACTGAGTGAATAAAGTTTACTACCTACCTACTACGCCGAACTGTGTAGAATGATGAAGCGGTGCAACTATCCGTCAGCTGAGGTGGAGCAAAGGCTTGTACGCGATAGATTCGTCGTCGGCCTCCGCGACTCGCGCCTTTCGGACCAGCTTTGCCGGAACGCGAAGTTGACGCTCAAAGAAGCATGGATGCAGGCCCATCAATCAGAAGACGCCGACAAAGAAAAAACGTTGCCTCAAAACTGCCCAGAGCACTCCCGTGAGCTACACCTCGACGCCGTACGAGATAAGAAGTTCGCCTCTCGCGGCCGCAACTACGATAAGCGGCCTTCGCCCCCGCGGAAAGCAGAGCGCTCCTGCCAGCCGTCAACATGTGACTTCTGCGGCCGCGCGCCACATCCACGTTCTAACTGCCCTGCTCGAAACTCCGTCTGCAACTTCTGCAAAAAGAAAGGACACTTTGCGGAAGTGTGCCGCGCGCTGCAGGCAAAACAGAAGCTCGGCTCCATTCAACTACGCGCTGTCGGTACGCTCGCCGCGGCAAAGTTCGTCGACATCACCGTTGACAACTACACAGCGCAGTTCAAGGTCGATTCCGGAGCCGAGGTGTCTGCCGTTCCGAGCGACTTCC